GATATTAGATCTGACTCCTACACACTCTATAATAAAGACTTTACTGTTTTATTGACTAATTCTCATACATTTGACTTGATGTTCTGAATTCCTTGAATTTCCACTATCAATTTAATAAGATGTGCATGATCAATTACTTGGTCTTGTGAAAAGTTCATTCCTCTTTAAAACTCATAAAAAAGTTCCTATAAATAATATCAAGCAATTTTTTTATATAAAGTTTCCCACCTGATATTTAAAGCTAGTAATACAGAGTAGATTGTAAACACTTGCACTACAATCTAATTTGATTACTAAGGTTTTGTTTCTATTTCATGCATTTGTATTTGTAATTAGCTTGGTTGTATAATTAATTTCAAATTATTTATGCTTAAGGGAATTAACGAAACAGCTACAAAAGCGCATAATTTGCTTCCGACTGTCAACCTTCTTCATCGAAAAACATTGCGTGGTGTTTCTACATGTTATGAATTTTCTATTATTTTGTAAGGCAACTAAAGCTGGTAAAGACCCTCCATAAAATGTGGCACAAATTGTTTCAAATCGACGTCATAATTAGTCTTGCATTTTATTTATGTGCGTGCTTCCACATGTCTTATGCATGCAATAATTCAATAATCCAATTTCGTTTTAAATTGCCAAAAAAAAAATAAAATTATTAACAAAATTGCATCAGCTGCTCGCAAAATAAAAGCCGTTCATGTTTGAGTAAATTGAAGAATTTTTCTCGAAATCGACCTTCAAAGGCCTTCACGGATAACTAAAGTTTCTAATAAGTGGTAATAAGTTTAAGTTTTTTTTTGTGCAGCTCATTGTTGATTGAAAAAAGGCAGTTATTACTATGCAATAATCTATATAGCTAGCAATAAATTCTTTTAATATCTAGATTTCACATTTTATTATAATTCATTCATTAAAATAGAGTCTTGAAGTTTCGAATCACGATACGAGCTCGTGGCTATTTGCAACTTATATCAAGCATGATAAAAAATAAAGTCGAGCAGTTGTAGTCAAACCGACAACTGCCGCAATGAGTAAATACAATAAATTATCAAGGACGCAAGAAGCTGTGAAGGAAAACAATCTAGTTTTTTTTTCTTCAAACAAATTCTTGTTACACATTCAAACGATCTACACAGCCAGCAACAAAAAAATTATTTAATTGTACAGAAAATTGCATGACATCAAAATCTGCAGGAGCGCCGCAAACAAAAATGCGAAAACTAATCACTTAACCGACATTTAATTTATTTTTAATTAAGTGCTGTCTTGTTTCATTGTTAACAATTATTGTTCTACACGTGGTGCTGCTGCTGCTAAATAAATTACATGTTTCACTTTCATCTAGGAAGTTCCTGTAAAATGTCTCAATTCTTTTTCAGACTCGCGTGTAGGTAAGAACAACAAAAATGTAAATTTTCATTACATGTTGAGTGAGTCATAGTCTATCTTATTCATTAACCATATCTTGCTCTATTGAAATGAATTTAAATTCTTATTGCACCCACTGCCTTAATGTCTTATTTCTTTCATTTATAAATTTTATTATTCGTTGTAATATCTCGCATTTTATAAGCAGAATAAAGAACCTTGAACAAGTCAAAGCCGGAACCATTACTTAATTGTATTTATCGCTCTATAAAATAAAATATATATTTTTGAACAATATTTCATGCCTTAAAGCACCACCTAAAACTATCTGTCCCGCATTTATCTACATTCACATGGACTAATTCACATATGTAGTGTCTTGTTAAGATTTTTAACAAAAGAGAATTTAATTAAAGCTGTTCAGGTCTATAATCACTTTGTAATGCCTTAATAAATGAAGCATGATTGTATAGATGCTGACCCAAGTATCCTTCCAAAATTTATTTCACATAAAGAATGGTGCCTTTGGGGTGTTTTTGTATTCAGACTCATTCATGCAAAATTACGAGGTATATAATGAATAGAGCGAGAATTAATGGAGAGGTCTGTAGGTACGCGGAATTGACTGAGAAGTATTTTTGTCATGGGAATGGAATTGGCATTATAATCTGCATATTTAAGGAATTTATGATGATTGATCGAATTAAGTTAATTGTATTTTAAAGAATATTGGATGTTTATCTGGTCAGTTAAAGAATAAAGTGAGGCTTGAGTCTGACTTTATAATTTTGCGGCAATTCTGTTAAGAATAATGAAGGCTAGCGACTTATTTGAACCAGGATTGTTGCATAGAACTGCACATAAGCTCTTCTAATGTCAAAAATAAAGTATCTAAAGTAAAGTCGCTCTTAATTCGATAAAAACAAATTGAAAACTCACTTCCGGAACCCTATAGAATTTTCGTCAGGAACTCATAACTTTTCCCAAAACTAAGCATCTCAAAATGATACGGAAAACATTCCTATTTAATATCATAATCCACAAGTGCGTAGCTATTTATGGACCTTCAATTGAAGATTTTAAACTACCCTCCTGTTCCTGACTACTCCTCTTATAACCCAGATCAGATTACAGCATCATAAGATACCAATGGAGTGTTTAAAGCACTCTAAACCATTTATTACGTGTACATTAAAAATTGTGTGGAAAATCACTGTAATTTTGAGTCAGAAGAAACAGGAAATTTATAAGAAAAAGAGTCGATACTTAAGAATAACTTGGCTTGTATTTTTTGCGCTTTGTTTTGCGCCTTTATTATGTTAGAGTACACTCATAAACCACGCAAATCGTGATATTTGAGGCGATCTAATTTCACACGCCAAACAGTTGCTCGATATAATGTTTGAAAGACTATAAAGGCCTTGAGATCATTTACGTATCGCTTTGGTTCTATGATCGATTGGCGCTATTTTAGCGTAATTTTTTTTATAGATGATCTACTCGATCATGTACGCAAGGAGATTGGAGAGAAAATTATCTTAAATTCCTGTTGTTAACGGCAGGGAGAATCGAAAACAGAACTGCGAATCGAACAGTATGGACACTTTATGGACTATTATTAACTGCAATAAATAATAATTAATGAAACAAATTTATCGTAGAGTAAATATTTGAAGCTATTCCGCATATTAATATTTATCATGTTAAATATTTAATAGCAATGCTTTTTCACATGCCAAGTATTTAAACGACAAGTATGAATCTCAAGTAAATGCAGTAATGCACACAAGTCCAAAATCCAATTAATTTTTTTTTAATTCGTGGATTGAGTGGGACTGTTATCATCACGACTTTACCATAAACAAAGCACCACAGAAATAAAAAATCATTATCGAAAGGCTAGAAAAAACAAATATCCACCATAATTGCGATAAAAGCTCACTTCTTACTGTTAAGCACTGGCATTTATCATACTTAACATTATATAAAGCAGAGTTAAGAAAATATAGAGCAATACTATATGCAGTGCAATGCCATTATGCAATTCTTTTTGGTGCATTTTTTTATGTCTTTCAAAATCATGGCACACGCCTGCATTCATTTCTCGTGAATATAATGAAATTATATTCAATCTATTAATAATAACGACTCACAACTTTTTTTTTCATAACTTACGTCAATTTTCTTAAGACAGAGTTGGGATATTATTTAAGGTGTGAATGTGATTGATGAGTCATCGTTTGTATGATCGAAATGGATGTGGTTGCATAAAGAGGGATCAATGGATATCAAAAGGTAAAAGCTGGAGTTTAGATCTTATCAAACTAAACTGCTTCTAGTCTATTGTTTCAAGTCAATTTAATTTCAAAGGAGCATAAGCTGTACAGCACCTATCAAATGATTTCAGCTCTAGCATTCAATATATCGGTCCACAATGTCAATAATTTCTTTACTTTACATTTTCACATCCCATATAAAGCCATCAAAAATGTCAGTACCAGCATAAATTCCAACCATGTCACCCAAGCGCACAAATATTTTTATATCATTAAATACAGATTTATGGATATTAATAAATTGCTGAAAAAAAATTCTTCCTTACACATACGATCGATCCACAAAGCTATTCATCATAGGTTAATGAAGTGACTGAATAATGAGCACTTTTAGATTGTCTCAAAAAAAATCTCAGCATTACTCACATTCTTTTCACAATTGACAATCGTCAACATCATCTAAGGTTAAAGTAGCACCTTTGAATATATACGGTCGTATATTTCTTGTATTAGTCATCAATCATGCACCAACAAAGTATGAGAAATATTTGGAATGTAATCTTGGTATAAATAATCAGTATAGTCGAACATAAAAACTCGTTGAACTGCAATTATTTACAACGGAAAAATATATAACAATAACTATATCCCAAAATAAGACCGCAAGCTAAACAGCAACACTATTTGGGTAAAAAGTAGTCATATTGAAGGTTTTTTAGGTATGCAAAGTGAGAAACATAGTTGATGGGATCTATTTTAATGGTATTCTTGTAGCTAATATAAGCTCTTTGGAATGCAGCTTGTGACATAATACAACGACTGTAAAAAAATTGGCAATAAAAAAAATAGAAGGAAGAGAAAAAGTTGTTAGAGATTAAGGGGAATAAACGATTAATAGTCGCAATTACCCCAAAGACTGAACTTTTTGTGAGCTGTTAATGTCTTCATATTACTGTCATAAATCTTCTTTTTCCTTGATGCTTGGTGATTAACAAAGAAATCATTATAAAAATCTGTTGTAAGTGCTTTGGATATTAAATATTCTAATTCGTCATTTTTGAAAAGTTCAAAGGATTGCAGACTTAAGTTGAGTGCTAAATGATGCAATCACGAAATGCTAATAAAGAACGATCTTGCAGACGATTAATTAAGTAGAATTGAATTTATTGTAGCTTGAGATTCAAAGTATTATTCTAGATAATTGAAGTGATTACTTCTTATGAGTGTTTTTATCTTATCGAATTAGCGATAAAAAGCTTGATTGGAGTCTACTGATTGGAATACTAGTGAATACTAGATGTTCTCTTCTCTTTGGACATTTGCTGATATTAGATTTAATATGAGAACCAAGAATTTCGTTTAAATCTTTATTTTTTAACATTTTTAACTTTTTTATACAAATAATCTTCAATAATTAGCGGTGGAGCTTCAAATGCTAAATAAGTAATTGTTGACAGTATGATGATCATAACCACATCACTTAAGATTATTGGAATCTATAAATAAATTAATAAAATGATGTAAATTATTTTCTGTACTGCAACTATTAAAAAAAGCGAAAGATGAAAAGTAATAAAATTTGTCAAGACATGATTAATCAGTTCTGCATCTTTAAATATTACAAATCACTTACCACATGCCAAAAATTCAAATACATTGGTGCTCTTTGATTAAGAATCATATAAAGCTGATAAACAGTTCCCAATAAATACATGCTCAATCCCATTCTGCTTACAGGTTGCCATTGTGGATGTGATAAGAACCATCTTATGATTCCTCCTGTTTTTAAACTTTGACATGCGAAAATTATCCAACAAAGTGCAACAGCCCAAAGATTTCTGTGTAATGCAAGAAATGATACGTGATATCCACTGTGAATGGTGTCTGCAGCACCGAAGAAACCAAGTTGTAAGAACACAACAGAAATAAGCACACTTATGGAAAATATCCACATGAATCCATTTATAAAGCTATTTATGCCAATTTTCTTTCCTTGAATTGTGTAGAGAAAATATCCAAGAATAATTCCTAAGAACCACGGACCAGAACGAGTGTGTGTTGCATAATATATGTAATCTAAATAATTTTCACTTGCTAATGGCGATGGAACTTCAATATCCAAAACTATAGAAACCGATATCACGTAAATTATTGTTCCTAAGAACAAAACTGCAGGAATCATTAAAAGCTTTTTGCCATACTTGTAAATTAGAAGAATTATGAAAGGAGAAATTATGAAAAGTTGAAAATCTGCACTCAGGTACCATCCATGACCAAGACACATATCTCTATACGAAAGATAGTTCTGAACATGTAGTAACACCAACCACCAGTTACGAACACATCGTTCACTCAATGCATCTATATAAAATGGTCCTTGGAGTAGAATTTTCGTAAATGAAATAACAAAAAGTATAAGTGCTGCATAGATTGGTGTATATCGTATGTATCGTCTCCAAATCATTCTTGGAATATTCAGTTGCTTCTTCTCACAATCTCTTAATGTCGACCAAGTCATTAATATTGCGCCCATCACAAAAAATGTATCAACAGCCAGTGTATACGCATTTATGATTCCTGATGCGATCGATGTTCCAAATAAAAAATCTTTAGTTTCATTTGGATTTCCCCACAAATACTGATTATTGATTCGATGACCTAATATTATCCAAAAGATGGACATAGCTCTTAACCCATGAAGACAGTTGATGGAACTTGGAGATTTTATTTTTGTCATTTCAAAAAGCTTATATCCGTTGCTGTATACAGAGAATGATGCAAGTAGCTTATTCGGTTCTGGATGTTTAGACTTTACGATGATAATTTCGTAAATTGTACTGCCAGTCATCAATAAGGCAAACATCGAAAAAAGTACTCTGTTGATCAAATTTGAATGTTTAGTTTATGACAAGACATAAAGCTTACAGAATAGAACTTACATTGCAAAATAGTCCAATGGTTCAAGAGGGATGTCATTGACATCTCTGCATTTGCCACCCAAAGCAACCAAATCGTTCTTATTTAAAATTTGTTGGTTTAAAAACTCAATAACTTTAGTTGCTGAACATGATGCTGGCATGCAAAATCCATTTGTTGAGACAATGTTAGAAGATCGGAAGAAATTGGCTCTGTGGATGAAAAAAATAATTGAATATTGTTAAAATTAAAATAAAACCATAACTTACAGATGCTTTAAGCTTAAATCATGACTATCAGAAACAAGTGTAGAATTCGGTAGAGCTGATAAGCTGATTAAGCAATGCTGACCCTTGAAAATTCTACTTGATATTGTTTGATGCTCAAATCTAATACAGCTATCAAAATCTCCAACATTCATAGAATTACCACTCAAATATCCTGCTTGAACTTTGGCCCAAGTATCAACAAGTCTAACTGCCCATTGTTCATTACTTTCTAAGCCTTGTTGAAACAACGATAAATCTTGGTCGCAAAAAGCATCATTTATTTTATGATTCTGTGATATATCTATGCCATTTTTTTTGAATTCATTCACTTCAGCATAGTCTACTATTGGTAGATAGTCTTGAATTGAATAAACCTTAACTGAGAATATAACTAAACTGAATAAATATTTCCACAACATCGTCTTACTTACAGCAGTAAAAATATTAAATTGATTTTATTGTCCAAAAGTGCCACGCTTTTAGAATGATTTGTGTTATCAAAAAGCGATAAGGGTGTCTGGAACCAACAAAAAACTTCTTATCTCTAGCTTTTTAATAACATTATCAAATGATTTTTTCCGTACTTAAGAAGTTCTAAGATATGAGAATCGAAAGTCATCGAACATAATATTATTCAGAAAATATATTCACAAAAATTGAAAATTTGTGAATATGAAATGCAAAATAATTTTTTGCAATAACTTGGTTAGTGTCGCAACCTAATTAAATGTTTTAATTAAGGAAATTTCAAACCACAATTGAATGTGATAAGAAATTCAGCACAAAAATCACTCCAAAAAATTAATTCAGTAACAATTAAAGCTCGCTAAGATGAAGTTCACAATTGTCATCATTCTTCTCATTTATAACTCGGTCAGCTCATTAGAAGTAACAGGAACCTACAGAACAACAACTTGGTCATATGTTTCAGAACATTATCAATGCTATCCTATCACCAATATAGAAATTCTAGAACCAAAGCAGTTTATTGAAACAGTCGCTGGGAAGCACTTGGCTGGTTATTTAAATTCAGATGTCAAAACATATGCAATTGTTTCACAAACTGTTCATTTCATGCCGTTGGGGATGACAAAAATTTTCCCAAATCTTGAAGCTTTTCAAATTAGTGGATGTGCACTTGAACAAATTGATCGTCTAGACTTAATTGAGTATAAAAATATTCACTCGATATACTTTAATAGAAATAAACTGACAATCCTAGAAGCTAGATTATTTGACTTTACTCCAAAGCTGTGGCACATTGACTTCTCATATAACAGAATTCGTCACATCGATCCAGCAATTTTTGATGGAATTGAAAATCTTAAACACGGAGATTTTATGTACAATACATGTACTGGAGAATTTGGACCACAAATTGGAGAAGATAACGTCAAGTATACAATGCAAAAGTTTTTGTTACAACATTGTCAGAACAAACCGGATGACAAAAGTGACTGCGGTTGTTTTAGACCACAAATCTGTAGTTCTGAGAGAATTAATCATATCAGTGAATTTGATTTGAAAAAGAAGCTGGGAATAAGAGATTAGGATGGCTTAAAGATCTGCTGAAAATGAAGATAAGTGATCGATGAAGCTTTATATTTCCAATTCAATAAGAGAAAATAAAATATTGATTTAATATGAGCATTAAACTATTCTTTTTCTATTAAAGCTCAATTTTTTAAAAATTCTAAATTATAATTAAAACTTCGCACCTACAACTACTATTATGTCCATAAAAAATATTCAGCCTTTGAATTCCTTAAATTCCTTAAAATTATTTCAATTATCTCAGATTGAACTCTCTAAAAAAATCGGTACATATTTAGCAACAAACATGTTTAATCAATTTGTTTTTTTAATTTTTAAAATATCTCTTATTTAGGTTAGCAGTTCAAGTCATATATATATCGAATTATGGGCGATATGGTATGTTGAAATAAATATTCAATATCAAGCTTGTAATTCAGTCAACATAAACATAATTTATCGGTATGATCAAGACAATTTTTCGAAAGGCTTACAACATTATCAATTAAACTTGAAAATTTTCAGTGAAGGAGTGATTGAGGACTTGACCTTGAGGTTTCCTTTCAACAAGTATATCGGAACTTTTAAGTCATAAGATTCGAATGTTAAGATTTATTTCTAGGATTAAGGAATCGATTTTTAAAAGCTATAATTTAGACTTATTACTGAGATAATTGGAAATTTCCTAGTAGGCCCACCCTCAATTGACTCATAGTCAAGGTTTCAATGAATGGCAACTTTAACCACACCAGAAACTTCTCATAACGACCCACAAGCTTAGCCCTTCACCTTAATCTTAATTTCCATTCAACAATAACAAAGCTATTTAAAAATGTATACAGTAGCTTCAACAACATGTATAATCTTTCAAAACAAATTGATTTATCTGCACTTACTTAACATTTGTATGAGTATGATCTGATATATATTTTTAAACAAATTAAACATATGAATTGCAGCATAAATAAATAACACCGAAATATGAATCTATATAAGGACATGACGGCAGTTAAAAAATTGGGCAATTTCGTGTATAATAATAGCATTTAACACCATTAATATTAAACTAGAAATAGACTCAAGAAAAAAAAAAGCTATAAGACAAACACTTGAAATATTTGTTAATATGTGATAATAGCATACTAATTAATGGTATAAAAATTATTTTTCAAATTTCATTTTTTTTTTTTTGATTGATGACCTTGTCGTAGCCATATAAACGATGGCAATCAAATATTTCACGCAAAGTCAATTTTGTAAACGACGCATAGCTAAAAGTAATGTAAAGAAAAAAAATTTAATAAATTTGAAAGTGCTCATTTTTGTTTCCGAAAAAAAAAATTCCTAAATGGAATAATTATATTTTGGGTCGGACTTATTGTTAGCTTTTTAATCCATTATTTATGATTGAATTAGTTTGATCATATTTGCCATTCTTTTATTATAAAACACTTTAAAAATTGATAGTGTGACGCCTATGCGATTTATTTGAAATGACGACAAGTCAAGATTATGATTTTGATCGAAACATAACAAGCGTGCAATGCTGGTAGCTTAAATTAATTATTAAATAATAGGTTTATGCTGGTTAATCATTTTTCATAAGCTTTATCATCGTTTTTACGGGAAAAAAATCTTGGGGTGTGTCTCTATAAATCGCATTATATCAACAGCTTATGTTAATTGCTTCATATTATAATATCGATTGAATAAGTGCTTCAATTTGTTTTTCTTGTGACTAAATGCAAATTTAGAAATGCATGGCTTCGGGGTAAAAATCTAAAGCTGAAGAAATTAAGAAATCTACATGACTGAAGTGTTGTGAAAACGCATTTGCCTACAACAGAAGTGATTTTGATCTTTCAGGATGTAAAATTAATATTTTTATTAAAATCATACTGCAAGTCGATGTTAAAAGCTTTATTCTGCGAAACATATTTTATGAATTACAGATTTGGATTTAGAGTTGGAGCATGGCTGACATGAAGCCGAAATCGTCATATTCTTAAGCAAAGAGACACCATTGGTTCCAAGGTTCCAAGATTATTATCTTCAGGAACCTTGATTGGATCAGGTTCTTATTATTTAACAAGCTCTAGGTTTCATAAACTTTCTTATGCCACTGGAGACGATTCGGTTAAGAAATTTAACATAAAAAACTCAAGAATTATTAAAAGATCAACCTATTGACTGTCACAAATACATTCCAGCAAGCTTAAGTCTGATCATTCAACATAAATGCTTTTAAAATATGCACAAACTACTTTGTTAAGCAATAGATTAAAACTTGATTAAAGCTTTATCCGATTTTGCACTACATTAATTGAACTAGAGTATAAAGTATGAAGTGTCTATCACAACCAGCAACTAAGGAAGTAATATTTCATATTTTGCTGTCTATCTGTTTTGAATATTTCGCATTTTAAATATTGCATAACAAACATTTTATTCACATTTTTGTGCAGTAATTAAATTATTAAAGAATGTCGAGCAATCGTAGAACTAATTTAATAATTATAGCAAGAAAATTTACAATTCATAAGTTTAAGTGTACAAAAATGTATGATTAATTAATTTAAATCGCCCCTATTTAAATTGCTCTAATCATTCCTTGAGACACTGTGTTTAGACGTAATTACAAATTAAAAAGGCAAAAGTTTTTTTTTGCAAATTCTTTGTGATTGTTCCCACCTGAAAATAAATCATTGGGAATTTACCTTAATAAAACTAATATGTATATGCCGCTTAGGTGTGGTAATTGATGAATGTTACATTACCACTTTTAGATATTTTATTATTATTCAATATTATTTTCAAGACTGAAAATTAATTGTAGATAAATCAAGGAATAGAATTAAAAATGATTTTAATTGTTCTTAAATCTCTGCGAGACTTCCATGGACGTTGATTGAAATAAATTTTAAAAATATTTATTATAAATTTGTATGTGTATCACTTTAGGCAGTCACTCGTAGCGGTTGCAATTTATTTCATTCTGCTTCGCATTCAAGTCTCAAAACCAGTTTATTACAAATCATTAAAATCTGTATTACCTTCAAGGTCGAATTGTGACTGTCGTTAAAAAAAATACTCTTTTTTTCAGCTCCACTTAAACTGTTTAAATCATTTTGTGATGACGAATTTCCTGTGTTCAATTTCTACTTTTAATAAAGAAATTTATAATTATTTTCGTGCATACCAAAATAAAATCATTCAAGTTTAATCTACGCCAAAAAAAACTTGATTTTATTTGGCTAAGAAAACTACAAAACAAATATTTGATCTTAACAAATCAAATATGCTTTACATTCAGTTCCGTCATTACGACATGTCTCAGACGCTGATTTAATTTCAATTTGATTTTTTTTTTACTTTACTTAAAGCTCGGCACGTGAGATTAACAATCTTGTTGATTTATTTATTTTATTGAGCAATAAAGTAAAAGGTGAATGTGGAAATTATTTAGAGTTGCAGAATTTATTCACAATAATCAAATTACTGCAGAAAATAAAATGAATTATTGTGATAGAGTCGAGTAACCACAATCGTCATGGTGCATTAAGGGTGCATGTAAATTTATTTTATGCAAATTATCTTGGTGTTATGAGATGTTTGTGGATTTTCCGTAATTTAGTCAAGGATTTTGCACGGAAAGTCGAGAGATACATCGTGAAATAATAGAAAATGTTGTCGCCTGTAATGATTGATTATAGTCGTTTAAATTGCTTTAATGTTTGTTTTTGTCGTTTGAAGCCTAAACCGTAGCAAGGGATTTTGGTGCTTGAAAAGAAATGTCTTCATCCGACAACCATAGTTTTATTATTGTAAAATCATCAGTTTTCTAATCTTCTTCTTCACAAATTGTGATAAACTGGATCTTCACTGCTGAATAACGTGTATCGAGCGAGAATCGAACTCGCTTCTTTACGATTTCTGGTCACATATTCTACGAAGGGCTGCTAGAACACTTGAAAGAATGTCAACTTAAACTATGAGCAGCTATAAGCAGTATCTCATATTTGGTGATAAAGCTTAACTTGAAAACCTCTTCTTCACTTCTCTAAAGGCTTGAATTCCACGACCAAACTATTCTTCAGGTCATTTTTCGAAGCACACTTGTAGTCATAAAGCTTAATATTTTCACAATAATAAATATAAATTCCATTTCCTGTGCTTTTATTCAACTCACTCTATTTTGGTGGATTAATTAAAGATCAAGTGTAAATACAACATTTTATGGATGATCATGGATTGAGAAAAATGGATGTCATAAAAATCACTAATCCTCAAAGATAAAGTAAAATTTTTATTGCTGACTTATGCTTATCGCACCCCATAAAGACATCATAACTTATACTTAGTTGTTTAAGTAAACAGAAAAGGTATTAAGTGAGAAAAGAATTGCTTCAGGTGAAAATGAGCAACGTTGTAAGTAAGTAGTTGCTACTGCTGTTATTATGTTAATATTTTACATAAGTTCGGTATTGTTTTAAGTTGATTGTTATTATTATAGCATAAGAAGATTTTAGGGTACTTAGACAAGGTAAATAGGAAACACTTGAGATTATTAGGAACAAATTAAATTGGATTTAGATGAGATTGCTTAGATATTCGGTAACACTAGACTGATAAGTGTGCCATAACATTACAAAATATAAAAACAACTCCGAACTTTCTCAATTTTTTATCAACGAAAGTCGAAATTCGCAACGTCAACCTTGACCTGCCCACCACATCTTACACTGTATTCCATTCCATTTAAGTCACATTCATCAACCAGTCTTCAGTCCAGTTCAATTCATTTGTCCACTGCATATAAAATGAATATATGATTATGTCTCGTTGTCTTCTGTTATAGTCATAATTAGGCTAGACCTGTGCATATTTTTTAAACTCATTTCGGCTTTTAATTCTCACAAAGAGAAAGACTTTTTGTGCATACATTTAATGCATGTATGATATAATGACTTGCCAGCCTCTCAATTCAATTAGTTTAAAATGATCTACATGTTCAAGAAGAAGTCGTAGAAAAAAAGTCTTTAAATAGACATGAAACACAACAAGAGCGGAAAAGTTGCAGCTTGCAACTTTGTAGTATAAACATCGATTTCGAGATTCAAATTAATGTCACATTGCCACACTAGCGCCATAAATATTCATTAATCCTTTTTTATCCAGATAATTAATTGTCTCGCAAAAATTTAATTCCAATATGGTTCGCAAAAAATAGTTCATTT